CCTTCCCACACTTCAAGCGCGAGAAACAGCACATGTCAGCAGCGAGCTCGATTAATTTCGGGCGACGCTGATGACGTCAGCACAATTTCTCGCGCAAGAAAAATGCCTGACGTCAGCAGCGACGTTCGAGATTTCGCGCAGGTTTCAATGCTGACGTCATCATCGATACCAGAAATTTCGCGCTAAAATCTGACGTCATCACCTCCCTTGTTGTAAAACTGTTCAAATGATACATCAACAACATCTATAACTGTAAGGAAATTCCCTTTTCCTTACTTCGGATCCCTGCTCAACGCGTACATCACTGTAGCACCTCAGTCAGCACCGTTACCACTCGCGACCATCGCATCATTCATCATCCCGCCATTTTCGCACATCGCATCCCGACCTCACGGCTCGGCTGGTAACCCGCGCTCCGGGCCTACGCTTCGACACTTTCCCAACCTCAGTCCCAGGCTCGTCGCGCGACCATTACTGTTACCACTATAGTTTCGCTATATATTGTTCGTTCATGCCTTCACTCATTGTACTCTTGCTTCGATAGTGCAATTCTCGTTCGTTCACTCAATTGCACTCGTAACACTTGGTATTCAGAGCCTACGATCTCTTCTCGGACCGCATCCACACCTTCGCAACGACACTGGATGGGCACGACATTTTATTGGGATGTGATTGGCTGCGACGGTACAACCCACAGATTGACTGGACGACGGGGAGCTGCACAGTGCGAAGTAGTGGTAACTGGGTTGTTCTACCTCGCTGGCAGCCACCCGAATCTTCGACGGTCCAGGTCAACGCCATCACGATGAAACGGGTTGTCGCTGCTGGAGCTGACGTGTACGCAGTGGATATCGCGCTAGTAGAAAAAGAGGAGCAGCGAAGTGATTTAGAGAAACAATTGGCAGCCGTACCGACCGAACTACAGGCACTACTGAAACGGTTCCCGGGGATATTTCCGGATGATTTACCATAGGGACTGCCACCTCAGCGGGCGCACGACCATAGGATCGAGTTGGAACCGGGGGCACAGCCAACTGTACAGCGACAATTTCGACTGACACAGCCCGAGCTCGACGAGTTACGGAAGCAGTTAGATTACCTGTTAGAGAAGCAGTTTATCCGACCGAGCTCGTCGCCATTCGCCGCACCGATACTGTTCACACCGAAAAAAGACGGAAGGTTCCGCATGTGCATCGACTACCGAGCGCTTAACAGGGTAACAGTCAAATCGCGATACCCCATCCCCCGCGCCGATGAACTGATCGACCAATTGCGAACAGCACGAGTCTTTTCGAAAATAGATTTACGGGGAGGTTACCATCAGATTCGGGTCGAACCATCGGACTGCGCCAAGACAGCATTTAGGACTAGATACCGGTCATTCGAGTATACAGTGATGCCTTTCGGGCTGACCAACGCGCCTGCAACATTTCAGATGACCATGAACGAGGCGTTTAGGCCACTTTTAGATAAATGCGTGATAGTTTACCTCGTCGATATCCTCGTTTACAGTCGGATCTTGAAGCAGTTACTCACCAAGGGCTCCAAGTGCGAGTTTTTTCGGGACAGGCTAGAGGTTTTGGGTCACGTCATTTCGGAGGCTGGGGTTGAGATTGACCCAAAGAAGCTGGATACAGTAAAAGCGTGGCGCCCCCCGACGAACATCACGGAACTACAGAGTTTTTTAGGTTTTGTTAATTACGTTCGACGGTTCGTCCCCGACATGGCACGTTTAACAACCCCACTCACTGATTTACTGCGTAAGGGGATCGCATTTACGTGGGGGGAGAAAGAGCATGCTGCCTTCTCTGCCTTGAAAAACGTTCTCTGTTCACCACCCGTCCTTCGCATCGCTGATCCACACCGCCCCTTCGAAGTGGTTACAGACGCGAGTGACATCGCCATCGGAGCTGTACTGTTATAGGACTTCGGAAACGGCCTCCAACCCATCGCCTACGAATCATGCAAGCTACATCCGCCTGAGCGAAATTACCCGATACACGACCGCGAAATGCTCGCGATCGTGCATGCATTCAAAGTGTGGCGCTGCTACTTGACCGGCGCAGACGTGACAGTACGGACAGACCATCGTTCTCTACAGTACCTCCGCGCACAGCCCCACCTCAACCCACGACAGATTCGATGGCTCGACTTCCTCGAGTCGAACTTTCACTACACGGTCACATACAAAAAAGGAGCCTCAAACATCGCCGACGCACTGACCCGCCCCACTGCCCAGATCCATGCAATACTACTCGCTCAGACCAGCCCGCTACTGACAGGCCTATTTACCCACGGATATCAAACAGACCCATTCTTCATAGGAGGCAATTCACAGCAATTCGCAGCAGCCAAGGGCATCTACTACGTAAAAGCTGGAACCGACCGCATCTGGGTACTAGGGTACACGTTACTACGGGAACTATTATTACAGGAGGCACACGATGACGTTACCTCAGGACATTTCGGGGTAGAAAAAACAAGGCAGCAGCTGCAGCGGTACTACTACTGGCCAGAAATGTTGACCGATGTGCAACGACACGTGGCATCGTGTCCCACTTGCCAGTTCATGAAGTCAAGCAGGAAGCGGCCAGTGGGACAATTACAACCCATCCCGCCTCCAGAGCGTGCTTGTTACGATGGACTTCGTCACGGGGTTACCAGCTGGGGCGAGTGGGAATGAAGCGATCCTGGTCGTCGTCGATCGACTAACGAAGATGGCACATTTCGCAACATGCAGGAAATCAATCACAGCCGAAGAAACCGCCCGACTGTTTATCACCACCGTCGTTCGACTGCACGGGATACCAGCGTCGATCATCAGCGACAGGGATACGAAATTTACCAGCAACTTCTGGCGGAACCTGTGGCATCAGTTCGGCACGCGCTTACAGTTCAGTTCATCCTATCACCCCGAAACCGACGGACAGACAGAACGGACAAACCAGACCATGGAGCAGGTGATTCGAGCCACGTGCGACGATCCGAACACGTGGGAACAGCAACTGCCCCTCATCGAGTTTGCATACAATAACGCGCCATCAGCCACGACACAACAATCGCCGTTTTACTTGAATTACGGACAGGACCCAACAGTACCCATGACACCGAATCCCGACAATCCCGTCCCACGAGCACAACAGTTCGCCAAGATTCTGCAAGCAGCACGGACCAGGGCAGCAGAAGCAGTAAAAAAATCAAATATCATCGCTAAATGCAACGCCGATCGCCACCGCAGACCCGTCACTTACCAACCCGACGACCTCGTTTTACTCGACACTCAGAACCTCCGCCTGCCCATCACTCCCAAACTCCGCCCTCGATACTGTGGGCCATTTCGAATCAGTCACATGATCACGCCTGTCACCGCGCACCTCTCCTTCCTACTGACTGGTACGTCAGCCCCTCATTCCACGTCAGCCTGCTTCGCCCTTACGTACCATCCACCAGCCAACTCCCACGACATCGACCCTCCAGCATGACACGACCACCAACCGAACCAGTCATCACCCCCGATAAAATCCTGAGCCACGGAGTTCGTGACCCTCGAGGAGTCCGAAAAGTGGAGTTTCTGATCCGCTGGAAAGATCGTACCCCCACCGAGGACAACTGGGTTCCCCTGGACAAAGTCGAAAACCACCCTGTCGTCACGGACTATCTGCGCAGCCGAAACTTCAGAGACGTCCACGCACTTTCGTAAGGAGGACCTCCTTAGGAGGGGGGGGTAGTGTAAGGAAATTCCCTTTTCCTTACTTCGGATCCCTGCTCAACGCGTACATCACTGTAGCACCTCAGTCAGCACCGTTACCACTCGCGACCATCGCATCATTCATCATCCCGCCATTTTCGCACATCGCATCCCGACCTCACGGCTCGGCTGGTAACCCGCGCTCCAGGCCTACGCTTCGACACTTTCCCAACCTCAGTCCCAGGCTCGTCGCGCGACCATTACTGTTACCACTATAGTTTCGCTATATATTGTTCGCTCATGCCTTCGCTCATTGTACTCTTGCTTCGATAGTGCAATTCTCGTTCGTTCACTCAATTGCACTCGTAACAATAACTGTAAACAAAGAAAACAACCTACAAAATCCAATACTCATATAAATGTTCTTACTATAATATAGAGAAAGCAAGTCTACCACGTATACCACATAAATACTCAAAAAAACAATTAAAATCTTCAACTCATCATTCACATAAGGACATAAAAATGGTACCCATATGTTTTATCTGAATACGACAAGTAATCAACGCCGTTAATAGATCTTTTGGCATGTTACAATTGTTGCTTCGCAACCCTAAGACGATTTCGTCGCCTCTTGTTTTCATTTTCTTTTTCTTTTCCTTTTCCTCTCTTCCGCAGTCACCAATTAGGGAGTGGTGAGCATGGCGGACGTGGCAATGCATGTGGTGAGGGAGGCAGCAAGGCCAGCAGCGCTCAAGGCGGGGGTGGTGAGCCTCATCGGCAACTCGCCCGAGGGGCTCTCGCTCTGGGTCACCTCCACCTCCACGCCGTGAGTTGCAAGTAGCGAGCCTCATCATCCCTGCCCCGAGTCCCTTCGTGAGTTGTGAATTACAAGTCTGGAGTCTCATTGCTGCACCTTGCTGCTCCACATGTTACGCGAAGGAGGGTCAGCTTACTCGCCTGGTCGGCACAACTGATCCAAGGACGCCGCACAAGCAGAGAGTGATTGTTCGCAGAATATTGGCATGCGAGAAAAAGAAGGACTCCAACAAAATCAGGAGTGCATGGTCAACACATCCGATCGAGGTGGGTGTACCTCGTGTATAATGTTCCTGCTGATGCCAATCGTATTTTACAGCCGTTGCATTGTATGTTGCCATATGCTCAGTGCGTCCTTCAACGATGGAACTTCGCGGACACCGATTGGGGAAACGTGTACCTGGCATGCCTCGCGGACACCTTGCACGTTCTGGACTCTGGGGTGTTCATCCACATGATGGATGAATTCCTGTCCACGCTAGGACTGGCTGAAATGCGCATCTTGGAGAGGTGAGGTTGGATTGTGAGTGTCGGGGTTTTAGCATGTTGATACCTGCCAAGACCCACTGTTGAACATTGTTTGATTTGGTGGGCATGACGTTCTCTACATCGCAGGCGCAAGAAAGGGGTAAAACGAGACACGCCTAGCGTCGTCCTTCGCATACCTGGAGGGAACTCGTTTTTCCGGTCCGGCACTAACTACACGGCATTTGAACACCGGAGCATGATGCAGATCGTGCCCATACTAATCGCAGATGAGACTGCTACCAAGATGGACGAGGCTGGCGAGCCGAGGGTTTCTTACTTTGGGTTGCAAGAAAAATTAGCACCTTTTTTACCCTAACCCATCGTCCCCTGCTCTCCATATTTCTCTCCCCCCTCTACCACCCAGGTTAGTACACGCCTTGGAGCCGCTAAGCAAGGGCATTCACACTCTCTTCCCGCCTCTCTCTCCCCTTCCTCTCCTCTCTCCCTGTCCTGCCATCCTAGTAGACGCTATGGAGCCGCTAAGCAAGGGCATTCACACTCTCTTCCCCCCTCTCTTTCCCCCTCCTCTCCTCTCTCCCTGCCCTGCCAGCCTAGGAGACGCCATGGAGCCACGAAGCAATGGCATTCACCGCCTGCTCGTGCACTGCCCCATTGCCCCCGCTGCTATCACCCCCCAACACGTCCCTTCCTCTACTGCTCCTCCAACTATCATGACCTTTGGCCACACCACGCCTGAAGCACTTGAGACAGAGGGAGGAAACACCGGCAGAAGGAGCAACCGAAAGAGAAGAAGCAACAGCAAGAGCAGGAACAGCAGCAGCAGCAGCAGCAGCAGCAGATGCTGCTAGGCCGGCGACAGGAGCAGAAAAAACAGCAGAAGAACCACCCCTGGCTCTCAAGCACTCCTACCACTTCGTCTCGGAGACTGACGTGGCAGCCTTCCTGCTGCTCCACGTGGACGCCCTAGGTGACGTGGCACAGCGCACAGTGGAGCAGCTGGGCCTCGCGGACCCGCTCTTCCCGCCCCTCGCTATAGTGTCGAGCATTACAGTCACTGCCGCGCTCAGGCTCATGCAGCGCGCGGGAGGTGTGAGAGCAGTGGCGGTGGTGGCAAGGAGTGCGGAAGAGGAGGAGCGGATGGAGGAGGGCGAGGGGTATGGTGCCTCCTCTGCTGCTGATGCTGGTGCTGGTGATGGGGCAGGAGGAAGGGGAGGAGGAGGGGGTGGGCCAGGGAGAGGGAGGGAGAGGGGTGAGGCGGGGTGGGCGAGAGGGGGCCGGCTGCTGGGCCTTTTGTCGGTATCAGATCTGAGAGGCATGGACGCGGTGACGCTAGCACAGCTGACATCCATGAAGGTGAGGGTTGCTCCACTCACGTGCGCTTGTAAAGCCGCTTGACATGAAACATGTATGCTTGGATGTCACACATGTAGGTATACCCCATGCCCCATGTATGTTGTGTGCTGGTTGGTTGTGTGGGGTCGTGGAGGCATGGGTGGAAGCTATTGATCCTGTATAGCTCGCGTGCATCAAGGGTGGGAGATGGGTGGTGTTGGGTGGGTGATGGGTGGGTGAGGTGTTACAGTCAGCGGGTGCACACGACATGAGAAAGGTGGCAACTCTCTCACTGCTGTTTACGCTTGATACTAGAAGCACCACCCTTATGTGCTCCACATCTCCTCTGCTTTTTCTTATTTTGTTCTCTTGTTCCCTCGACAGCCAACCCCCCTAACCCACAGGCGCGGGACTTCCGGGCGCACATGACATCTTTATCCCCCGAGGGTCACCGGCCGTCCATCACGTGCTGCATGGCGGCGCCTCTGGCTAAGGAGATGGCAGTGGCAGCCACTTGACCAACTACGTGGACCATTCCATCTCATCCCCACCGTTCCCCCTCCCCCCCACAGGTGCGGGACTTATGGCATCGCTCACCCCCGAGGGTCGGCGTCCGTCCATCACGTGGGGCATGGTGGTGCCCCTAGCGGTGGGAGTGACAAACCGCGTGTGGGTCACCGGGGAGGACGACGAGCTACTAGGTGTGGTTTCCCTCTCGGATGTCATCTCTGCGTGTAGACGGGCAGGTGGACAGAGGTAGGGTGGTGGGGAAAGCATGACTGATGGCACTGGCAGTGACCAACCGCGTGCACCGCGTGTGGATGACCGGGGAGAACGATTAGCTGCTAGGTGTCGCTGAGTGATGTCATCTCTGCTTGCAGACGGGAGGTGGGCAGTGTTAGGGCAGCGTTAGGGCAGCAGCGAGAAGGCAGATAAGAGGGGTTGACGAGGAGATTGGATCAGGGTGGTTGGACAGGGGAGTGGACAGGGAGGCAATGCAAGGCCGAGTGGGCGCTACTGGTTGGGTGGAGGAGAGGGCAAGTGGAGGTGATGGCGCTGGCAGTGACCAGCCGCGTGTGGGTGACTAGCGAGGGTGACGAGCTGTTGGGGGTTGACTGATGTCATCTCTGCTTGTAGGCGGGCAACGGCAGGGCGTCGGTAGGGTTGCAGGGACGAGGGATCCAGGGGGAGATGGAACCGATATTATATCTCCCCTCTTCTGGACTGGACAGAGTGAAGTGGCTGGGGGGGGGCGGTGGAAGGGTGGATAGTTGATGGGAAAGCATGAGTGCTGCTAACCAACTGCTTGTATATGGACGCTTTAAGCACTGAATTGTATGCTCCCATATGTTCCAACATGGAATGTGAAATCACAAACATCTAATGTGGAAGGGTGAGTGAGGCAGGGTGTGTGGCAAAGTTATGCAGAGATGTTTGCAAAGCATGGGGAGAACACAGTTTTCCCCAAATGTATGTGCTTCTCTTATGGAGCTACACTGGTATCAGTATGGCATGGCAACACGACAATTAACTGAAGGACTTCGTTATCATCATTATCAGAGTTGGGGGAAAAGAGATGATCAAAAGGCAAAAGGCTTGAACAGACAGCACTAGAGTGATGAGTACAAAAGGACTGTCAACTACGAGGCAATGAGAGGTGCGCGCAGAGACTCGACACACACTGCACAGCTAAAACACCAGTCTTCTTGATAAAACAAAAGGCCCATTGTGTTGGAAACAACTAATTCTAAGCGCCTCTGTCGTGTCGGAACACCAAGGCACAAGCGAAGCACAACATATCGCTACATCAGCGAGTCAACCCTCGGAGGTTGAGCAACTGCTGGACGTTACGCGAAAGTCAAAGGTCAGCGACCCTTGACCTGACAAGTACAGCGCGACAGCAAGGACACACAAGTGACCCGCTACCGAGCAGTTGCCCGAGTCGTCACTGTATCGAACCGCAACAGCAACAGTAAAGAAGTTATAGCTATGTCTCTTCATATTCCTTGTACTCTTATAAAATACTGTATCTCCTTGCTTAAATCAATCAACTTTGCCCTCACATACTAGCGCAAGGTGGTTTACAACTCATTATTAAAACGCTTCCGCTACTACACCAGTCCTACCCAGAGTTCACCCCTGCAAAGGTCCTAAGGGCTCTTCTCAGCCCAACACATTGTTAGGCCCTCAGATTGGTTTCAGGGCATGCTGATCGATCAGTGTGCAGTGTCCAAAGTGGTGCCCAAATCAGCCTTGGGGGTAAAATTTATGCTGATTTATTCAGTGTTAATTATAAAGGCAAACTAAATTCATCGCACATACCGAGTGGTGTTGCTGGCGTACGGTAGTTGTTTGGGTTCTATCTTGTAATCGCGAAGATCTCGGGTTCGATTCCCGTGGACAGGAACTACCTGAGAGGGCTGCGGATTTTCTTTTGCGGGAATCCTGATTTGAACACCCCTTGTACACCCATACCCTATCATGTCCAAATCAGTGTGACTCGGTAGACTATACTGATTCGTCAGTGTTACGTGTACAGCAACATTGGTCAGTGTGACAAGATAGGTTTGAGAAAGTTAGAATGAGAATGAAATGACTCAGTGAAAGTTGGGTACAAATACAAACCCTAGAAAGCTGTACCCCATATGTGCTACCCCACTATAGCCTACAATAGCTATGTCATATATATCAGACACACCCCCATTGGCAAAGTGGGGGAGTACAAGGGGTCACAAGACCAGTCAAGCAGAGCAAAGCAAAGCAAGCTCAGGGTGGATCACAAAGTCACCACACAGTCCGAGCACAAGGTCAAGGCCACAAGGCCAGTTCACATGCAGGAGTGCACATATATATATAAGGCTAAACAAGTAAGAGCAGGTATATATATATATATATGTAAGAGTACAAGCAAGGTCAAGGGGTGAGCAAGTGAGGCAAGACAGGGACAAGACCCAGCTGAGAGCAGAAGCGCTGATAATCACAAGGTGGAAGTGCCTTGGTGAAAACATCAGCAGTGTTGGCCTCAGAGGCCACGTACGCAAGCCGCAACTGACCACGCTGCTGTAGCTCACGAGCAAGGAAGTAGCGAAGAGCAATGTGCTTTGTTCTGTGCTCCAGTCTCTGCTCTCGACACAAGGCCAGCATGGCCTTGTTGTCTACGTACAGGACTGGAGGAGAACGAGGCGGCTCTCCAAGGTCGGTCAGCAGGTATGTGAGCCAGCGAAGCTCCTGTGCAGCCATGGCCCCGGCGTAGATCTCAGCCTCACAACTGTAGCCGAGAACAGAAGACAAGCGAGTAGCCCGCCACAAAACAGAGCCAGAACCAAGGCTGAAGGTGTAACCCTGTGACAACCGCTGCGTAGCCTGGTCGTCAGCCCAAGACGCGTCCGCGTGCTCAGTGAGGACCACTAGACTCCGCCCTCCAAGCACTAGCCCCATGCCCGACGTACTGCACAAGTAGCGCAACACCCTCTTCGCTGCAGCCATGTGCTCTGGTCGGTGTCTCCCAGGAGCAACATAGCGTGCAAGAATGCTAAGAGGGTATGCAAGGTCAGGTTGTGTGCAGGTCATCAGGTACATGAGGCAGCCAACAAGCTCTGGGTACGGGCCACTCGACTCTACGGACTCATCCGAAGGCAGAGCTGAGAGCGAGTGGCGAGTAGACAGAGGAGTGGCATGAGGCGAGGAGTACGTGAAGCCGAAGCGCTGAAGGACCTGCTGCACCATGTGTGACTGAGTCAGGGTAATGGTGCGGCGTGCTCTGTCCTGGGTGATCTGCAAGCCAAGGTAGCTGCGCAGTTCACCCACGTCTGTGCACGTGTGTCTTTTCTACAGCTCGGACTTCATGTGGGCGAGTCCAGTAGTGTCAGCAGTGGCAAAGACCAAGTCGTCGACGTACACGAGGATGTAGAACGGCGGCAAAGAGGTGTCGGTGCGTAGAAAGAGCGACGGGTCGGCACTAGAGGGAGCAATCCCAAGAGCCGCAAGCGTAGTCCTCAGTGTGTCGTGCCACTCACGCGGTGCCTGGCGGAGAACGTAGACTGGCCGTCGGAGGCTCCACTGGGTGCCAGGAGGAAAAGTCCCAGTGAAGCCAGGTGGACGGCGCAGCCAGATCTCCTCGTGCAGGCTACCCTTCAAGAAAGCATTGCAGAAGTCAAGGGAGTGAAGCTCGTAGTCACGCTGAGCGGCTATGTGCAGCAGCACCCGAAGAGTGGTCATCTTCGGGGTGGGAGAGAAGGTCTTAAAGTAGTCAACTCCCTGCCGCTGACTGAAGCCACGAGCCACGTACCGCGCCTTGAAGATAGATGGAGAACCTGGCGGCCGCTTCACCCTGAAGATCCACATGCCACTGACGATGTTCGCCCCAGGTGGGGGAACCGCGTCAACGTAGGTGCCTGTGGACTTCCAAGAAGCCATCTTTGCATCCATATCTGCTTGCCACTGAGAGGAGCAGGGACCCTCTACGGCCTCCGCGTAAGAGCGCGGAGTCGGGATGTCAAGTGCATCCGGGTGTCCCTCAGGGGTAAGCAGTACGGACACGAGATGGGGTGAAGCAGCAGCTAGACACTGGAACTCCTCCTGCCTGTCCTCAAGGACGTCCGTGCCAAGAGCACACTCACCCCCAACGGACGGAGGACAGACAGGCGCAGACTCAGCAACAAGACTAGCAGCGTAGTCTAGACGACAGCGAGCAGCAAAGTCGACGAGCTCAGCAACAAGAGCAGACGCAGCAGTGGACTCAAAAGAGGGGTGAGTGACGACAGTAGCAAGGAGACGCGTGACAGTAGGACTGGCAGCACGAAGAGAGTCCGACTCCGGGTCGGCAAGTGCAGGAAGAGAGGACGCAGGAGGAGAAGGCAAAGGGACACGCAGAGGAGTAGTGGACGGACGCAGAGACATCCGGTGCGTGCCAGGGATAGGAGGAGGACGTTGACGCGAACCGCGACCACAAGCGCGAGCAGCACGAACAAGCGACGCAGGACGAGACGCAGGCTCACGACGCTCAGCAAGACCTTGAGTAGGACCGGTGTAGGGAGAGGGAGCAGGCAGTGGGGAGGTGGACGGTAACTGTGACTGTGACTGGACTGGCGGCGGACACTCTACAGGAGGAGGAGGACCAAGAACCCGCTGAAGGAGCGGAACGAAGTACGGCCGAGGCCGCGCGGCGACTCCAGACACAGCAGGGACAGCACCCGCACCCTCAACACCTCGAGCACCTCCAGTACCCTCAGCACCTCCGGCAGCACCAACGCCAACAGCACCTCCAGCATCACCAGCAGCACCCGCAGTAGGACCGCCGCCAGGACCGACAGCAGTAGCCTCAGTGTCAACACCCTTAGCAGCCCCAACTCCAGTCGGACGAGCACCTCCGAGACCAGCGGCACCAGCACCCTCAGCGGCCGAAGAAGCTCCAGCTCCAGCAGTACGCCGCCAGCGACAGGCAAACCACTCGCACAACTCCTGTGGAGAGAGCGGCTCTCGCCGAGAAGAGCCAGGAGAACCACCAGGCCCAGCACCG